TCGTGCAAGTGACAATTGTTGTTGTCTTCTCTGTGAACGTTTTTTTTTGCCATTTTGAGATTTCAATTTCTAGCGGAAAGCTAACCAGGAAGTGTTTTAGCACACCACATGACGCATCTGAACGAATCACGTTGTCAGAAGTTGACACCAGCCAATGAGATTTAGTTTCTTGGTTAAGACCCCTTTGTACTTTCACGATTGGTTGCTGATATAAAGTAAATGACCATATTTGGATCTGATGAGATTGTGCAGGAGAGACGGAGCTTTCCAACGATATCTCTGATGACATGGTGCACACAGCGGTCGCGGTACTTTATGTTACGTTAGAAAGCTAACTTTTGGTGAATTTAGGAGAAATATACAGACGCAAATAGACAAACTATAGTCAAATAAACACTTAAATGTGTATTTTGTACGTTTTCCTTCCAAAAGCCTGAAAGAAAACATGTTATGGAATCAAAATAACACAACATCTCAAAATTGACCAGTGCATGAAAAACGATGTTTTTGCCTGCCGTGTCTCGCCTTAAACAAACAATTTATGCGGCTCGTATCGCTGAGCTGAGCTGTACTGTACTGTACCCAATATACAAGCTGTTAATAAACTTTTCAATCAATCAATCAACAGCCGGCCCCCTCCCCACTTTTGGCAGCACCCCCTGAGCAAAATGACTTCCCGCGGCTATGCGTTTAGGTGCTTTTTTTTCTGGAGATAGGCACTGCTCAATCCACTCCTCCATAGTAAGACCCCCCCGGAGGTCGAAGTTAATCTTAAATGTTTCCATCTTATGCTTTGTAAGTTTGTTTCGTAATGGAAGAAATGTAAATATATTTATAAAACTGACAAGTCAAATCAAGCAATCTGATTGGTCGATATTGTTTTTGCGGACCTCTTTGATTACAGATTTGAAAACATCGTTGCTTGCTTTAAAAGTAGCACAATTCATTATGTCAAACCTTGGAAAGTATCTAGATATCCCTGCCCTAATGCCAAAGGAACTGCACACTGAATATGTTTTGCCGTTTGATGTCTATGTCTGGACCGCTGCGTAAAAAGGAGGGTTTCTGCCCCGTTACTTCTCCGCTGCTTTCTTGTTCCAGTATGAAAAGCAGTTTGCTTTTCAGCCCAACTACAACGGTATACTGTTTTTCTCAGACGCGGAGGGATACTGACTTGTTGTGAAAAGTAACTTACAATTCTACCCGTGGTATACGCTCAGTATATCACGGCTAAGAACCAATCAGATTGCTTGATTTGACTTGTCCGTTTTATAATTTTCAAATATAGCATGATAGGTCCACTTTAAGATGATTGATGGCTACTGCCATATTTGCAAAATGTGCCTCTGAACCTTGACAAGTGCATGTTTCAGGCTTATCAATTAACAACAGACATAAGACCAGCTGTTAAATAAATCTCTTCTGACCTTAGCTGCCATGTGGGTATATATGAATGCTGCCCATTATGGACCCAAGCAATTTTAACCCATTTCTTAATTATATGTTTTAAATGTGATAACACCAATGGGTTTCGTATCCCCTAAACCTCCAGGGATGTGCACAGGTTTAATACTGGCAACTTCTAGTTATGGGAAATACGAAAAAGTCTTTTAAAACTACAATTCCCAGTAGAGACGTGCTATAGAACATATTGCGAAACACAATAGCCAGCATGTGTAGTTCTGGGGGGCTGGGCTGGACCCGCTCGAGTCCAGTTTTGGATAGTCTGCCGTGGTTTCATTCCATTTCAAAGAGCTGTTTGACGCTCGGCGTAACCTTGTCGCACTGCCACTCCAACATCCAATCACAGAGCTTGAAGACTAATCACGGGGTTTGCAAAGGAAAGCGGATGTTGTAGTCCCAAATGATAGCTGAGGATTCTGGGTAGTGTAGTGTCTTCGGAAACTCTGTAGTGTCTAAACTCAGAAAAAACGATTTGCTTCTCCGAATCGAAGGTTAAAAACACAAAAGCATTTTAAACAATTTAAACCAATCAATATTGTGTAATTAACAGCGACGTGCAGTCAGGGGAGGCAGGGGAGGCAGAGCCTCACCTGTCATACTCCAATGTAATGGAAAAACAACTAAAGAAAAACTAAATAGTAATAATAATAAAATGTCTCCACTGATCTGTGTTGTAAATGTGATTTATGTATGATTCCAATCGCTTTTTATAGTCAAAATCAGCAAATTTGCCGAGCTCCGCTACAACTACGGGTAGCGATGAGAAGTGAGGCAGGGACGAGCTCTGCCTCTCATAAGCCCACAGTAACTGGCTGGAGCGCGGGCACTAATTTAGCGCGGGCACTTATTTTGTGAGCGCGCTCAAGCCAGTTACTGTGTGGTAAGGTGAGGCACAGATGAGCTCTGCCTCACCTCAGAATGCGTCACCCCACAGAAACTGGCTGGAAAGCGGGCCCTAAGCGCATGCCTGCACCATCTCACTGTATGTCACCAATGTAATGTTTGTAGATCCCTTTATTACATTTATCCTCGCCATCCATAGTCTCTAAATAACTTATTTCACGTATATATGATATTTAGGCTCGCTGGTCTCATCATACAACGGCAATGAAAAAAGCACCAGGGGAGGCAGCCATAACCTCTGCCGCACTGAAGGGGGCGCACGTGAGCCCACAGGTTCTTGTTGCTACTGTTATTCTACGCAGGGACGGTAGACGCAAACAACAAGCTAGACTTTTGAAACTACAGGAAGATAAGGAGGACTTTTACAAAAAAGTAATAGAGATTGTTGTCCAGAAGGATAGCATGGACTTCATCTTCAAGTCAAGGTAAGACCCCAATTGTAATGAAAATGGGATCATACTAAGAAAGAACAATCCAATATTTAGATTTTGGGTATCCTTTTGTTGAACGGTCTGTTTAAAATGAATTGAAGCATCAGACTAAAAAAGCTTTTGAAAATAACCGAATATTTCGATTACGGTCAAAATATAATATTTGTAAATCTGACTCTGAAAGAGTCAGTGCCTCACCAGCCATGAACCTCACCGCACGTCACTGGTAATTAACAAGGATAAACTGATGTTTTCTAGTGGATGAGTAATGCAGATATCACTGTGTAATAATTTGACAGTGAGGGGAATACTTCCGGTTTTATTATGAAAACTTTGGACCGGAAATACTGTTTTCACCCCATGAGGGTTGACGCCAACTTTACATGGACGCTGCGTAAAGACCTAGTATACACGTTCTCCTGGCGAGACCTCAAATCATTTTCGTAATATCTATCAAACTGTAGATCCTACACATCCACTGGACGTAGATTCTAAAAGTACAATATACACTTCTCGCTAGAAATCTAATCAAAAAGCATTTTAATGGCCAAACTATTCCACAATTTAGGATTTTCTAGAGAGGGTTATTTGTGAATAAACGACCCTCCGGAGCATTTGCAATCAACGGGAGCATGTTGTTTCTTACACGACCACTAGAGGTGCTACACTTTAAAAGGTGACTATGGGTCGTAATAAGCTGCTGAACAATCGACCTATATGGTCGTTTTTCGTAGGAGGACAGGCTGGTTTGAATGCATGAATGAAGCTTTGTTTTCTTTTTTGGGGCACCATGATCTTGAAAGGCATAATTCAACCAGAGGGTAAACACTGCTTCACTAATTGTCTCATGACCTCCACCAAGGAGGTTATATTTTTGGGTTCAGTTAGTCTATTTATCTGTTTTTCTGTCAGCAGGATTGTGAAAAAAGCCCAATTAACACCAAACTTCGAACATGAAACACGAAATTTCGTTGTAATAGTACACTCTGTGTCTTGTTGAAATGACAATAAAGTATGTCTAAGTCTAACTAAGTTGAAGGGTGTAGCATTGAGGTAGAACACGCAAACATTTGGAATGGATCCAAATAACAGCGGAAAAGAAAAAATCACTAATTATGTTTCACTTTCGCTAATATTGCAAGCATTTGTGGTGCATTTATGTGTCAAAATTATGTGATTTTTTTTTTCTAAACTGGAAAATGTGTATGAACCATGGTATGAACGCCTCTTGAAGTTAGATCAACAACGGAAACAGTAATCATAGCATTGTTTAAACACTATGCAATAAAATAGTACATGTTTTCACATTATGACCTTCAGCTCATGAACACATCAAAGCCAGACAAACGATCCAGAATTACGACATAATTTGTTCATTCACTCTCTATTAAAATTAAAAAAGTTAGGTTTTTTGGCTTTGAATCAGGTTAATACAAATGATGTTTAGTTGGGTCCGAGGTTATAAGTTAATGTAATTAATGCGCGCTGCCCAGTCATTGTTCTATAAGTGTCCTAAATAGGCAGAGCATGGGGGACCCAAATGCAGGATGTAAAAGGATTTAACAAAAACAAATCTGTAATTGCAGGTTATCTTGTAGAACCAGGCATGGCAAAATAAAGTAACACAACTCTCCAACGCCCGATCAACACAACCATCCCATGGATGAAAATCAAGGATCTGACACCAACAAAAAAACAGAACTTAATTACATGCAGAACTAATCACAAGACAAGACACAGCTGGGCTGGGCAGGAAAAACACAAGGGCACCATGTGAAGAGAATCAGGTAATCAAACAGGAGGGAATACACAGAGACAGGAAGTACAAACAGACATAACACAGGGGGTGAATAAAACAGGAAACGCACAGACAGATTGTGAAACTTAATTGCGCTTTTGTGTCAAGATAGATCTCAATCTTGGTGGTAATCTGTCACACTTTGACTAGAGGAGCATATTGAATATTTAAGTATGACATATGATATGTGAGGTCAAATATTGTGATAATTGGGAATATGGATTCTTTCAAATGTTTACCCTGCAAAGAGGGTGAAAGATTCATATAAAATATACATATAAATGTTTCTGCAACAACAACACTAGCATTGCATTAGCATGACAGAATGAAGATACAACCAACATAGAAAAAGACTAGGCCAAACAGCTAAACTTTTTTAGCAGATAGTGAATATTGTTACCAACCTGCCACAAAGCAGACCCTCCAGAGGCCAGAGTGCAGCGCCATCTTCACCTCGGTGGTCTGGTTCTGCTGCAGGATGATCCCCTCCTCCATCAGCAGCCAGTAGTCTGTTGACACGGCGACGCCCACCAGCAGCAGACCACAGGCCCCAAAAACTGACGAGAGCAGCGTCAGAGCCCTCGTACTGAACGAACTCATCTGCGGAGACAAAGGAAAGAAACAATCATTCATACTGATGTCAGCCTGCATTTTTATTTTGAGGATAAGAAAAGTGGAGAAAAAGATGCCAAGATGAGAGAAACAACAGGTGAGGAGAGGACAGACAAAGATTGATTTACCTCATTGATTTTTAAATCCTAAAATATGCAGAAGCACATCAGAGAGCTACGAAAAGGAAGAGCGTGGAACCTCTGATTGAAATCCGTCTTGACTTTCATTGACTCACGCTGTTAAATATGTATGCAATATTGGACAGGAGACGAGATGAAAGACGAGAGGAGAGGAGATCCACCGGGAGGAGAAGAAGAGAACAACCTTGGAAGAAATTAGCTATTTTCATGTTGAAAATATCAAAGCATTTGAAAAGCTTCTTATACAAATCCTGGGGTTTCAAGATGTTTTTCTTAACGTGCCAAAGAGGGGACTATAATTGAAAGCTCTTTCAAAATACATGCGGTGCCAAGAACACTAAAGGACTAGGAGACGGATAATGGATTTTGATGGATATTGAAAAAGTGGAATACAAAGAAACATCATAGGCAGAGAAATATCTCTGACAAGAGAAGTGATGCCTTTAAAGGGGCCCTATTACGCACATTTTGAAGTTCATATTATTTATTTTTTGCATACTGTGACATGTTTACATTGTTTGAGGTTCAAAAAGTGCTTTACATGTACTGCAGCACCCTCTGCCTGAAACCAGAGCCCTGTCTGCTCTGATTGGTCAAAAGCCTAGAGATATCCCGCCCCTTAGCCTATCACGTCAAATGTGTTGGAAAGCTAGCCAATAGAAGCACAAGTGTTACATAGTGATGACATTATGTTAAGCAAGAAAACAAAGATGTCTAATTGAGGTGTTTCTATGGTCTGCATGGTCATTTGAAGACCACTTAAGTCTTACAATATAATGGAATGAAGGTTGCTATTAGCAAACAAAAGCATCAGCCTGACACAAAGAGAGACCTTCATCAACATCTAAATATCATCATCAGCGAGGAGAGAAACACCACGAAATATTCATACCATCTTCAGGATGGAAAAGTTTCTTTCGATAGAACAGAACAGAAAGTAAGGAGGTGAGTGATGTTTTGAATACCAATAACAAGTTCATCCTTCAAGATACAAATCTAACCGAATGGAATGCAATTTAATTCAGTGACCCAAACAGAAAACTCAAATTATACAGAGGGCAAAGAGGAAAGATCATTTACTTTTAAATGATGGTAATAATGCTGGCTCAAGAATGGGAAATATGGATACAATTATTTCCTTTTAGGACACAGAGGTATATGTTTATGAAGTATTTGAGTTTATTAATTCTTGCACTCAGTTAGTTCTGGATATAGTAACTAGAAAACAACCAAACTTCTTCTGCCAAAAGCCTCTTTATACAGATTCATTGTTTATCCAGAGACAGAAATTGGAAAATTGACAATAACAAAAAACATTAAAAGTAAAAATAAAAACAATTGATGCATGCAAAATTGTAATGTAAATTAGATTAGATTACTTTATTGTCATTACAAAATGCAAGCACAGTGTAACGCAATTAAGGAGTGTCTAACCAGAGTGCAAAACAGTCAGTTATATAAACAACTATCAGAAGTATGTACAAAATAAATGATACAAAAATAAAGGTAAATAGATGGGAAATGTATAAATAAGAATAAATGTTTAGAAGAGTAATGCATAAATATGAATGGAGTCTGGCAAGGCCGTAATATGTTGTGAGTGCTTCAGGTTTTGCTCATTTTGAAGTACAAGGACGCTGCCCCTAGCTGTGATCAGCCCTGGTGTCTCTGGTGATGTAATGAGCCCCTCCCCTTCCAGGTAACATGCAGTGCAGTTTAACACTCACTAGGTGGCACAAATGTTTCCTCTGGCATGCATCATTTAAGCTTTTCACACTGAAAAACATCCCCTGTGTGTGTGTGTGTGTGTGTGTGTGTGTGTGTGTGTGTGTGTGTGTGTGTGTGTGTGTGTGTGTGTGTGTGTGTGTGTGTGTGTGTGTGTGTGTGTGTGTGTGTGTGTGTGTGTGTGTGTGTGTGTGTGTGTGTGTGTGTGTGTGTGTGTGTGTGTCACACCAAAAACTGCAGTTACACACACACTCTCTGTTGCCGCCAAACACAACCGTGGACTGATCAGTCCCCTTAAGCACAACACCCTTGACTCAGACTTCCCTTTTGTACATAATACAAGGACATATGTGTCCAATCGAACTGTTTTCATGTGCATGTAAAATGCTTTACAGTGCAAGTCAAATAACCCGCAGAGCCTGTAAAAGATTATTTCACATGAAACTCCTATCACAGTCTAAACTGTAAGCTGTTACCTGAAGTTAAATCTTAATAAAGTTCAATAAAACATGCCCTTGGGTTTATTTAAATTGACAACATGTTTATTGTCTTCAGTGCTGTGGGTAACCAGGTGTTATGTGAGTCTGACACATAGGGTTTCAGCGGATAATTTATAAGTTATACATTTGGCAACACAGGACCCAGAAAGAGGACAGAGTGTCAAAATGTTTTCAAAAATATTTAAGTTGTTATCTTTCTTTGCCTCATGCATTGTTTTGGGTTATTCATTTTGAGTTTATGTACAGATAGAGTTTCTTTATTCTTAAATATGACATTGAACAAAAAAGATAAAGAACAACATTGTGGCTAATGTTATCAGATTGTATTATTGTCTAACATCAAGTTACTTCAGTTGCAAATTTGGACAGTTTCGTTTTAGGGTGTAACACTTGAGCGGATACCGTTAAATTCATCAATATAAATATGTAAAGCAGATATATACAGCCTACAAACAGGAAGATGGTTTCAACTCTTAAAGTATTTCATGGTTTGTATAAAGCGCAAGTTTAACTGTGATTAAAACAGGATGTTGAAGGAGGTTGAGTCACTTTTTAGAATGTTGTTTATGAGGCTGAGAAAGAGCTGAAAAGCCGAGAACAAAATGAGCTTAGAAGACAAGATCTGAAGAGAAACAGATAAGAAGCAAGAGAAAGTGGCTGTCAGGCGGAAGAGAGTGAGGAGTGACCTTGTCACTCAGCGCTGCGGAGCAGATTCATTATAGTAAAATCCCGTCGCCCCAGGTGAATCCAGACATTTAAAAAAAAGGAAAAGAGGCAGTCGTGTATGGAGTTGATCTTTCATGTGTGAAAATGTATCCATATAGGGAAAGAAATCACATGAAGAAAAACATACATGTGCAAGTAACTTTAAAGACCCAAATGAAGTCTGGTCCCTGACTTTTACTACTATCTTAGTTTATTAGCATCCCCATTAACACTATAGAATATGCTATACCTCTAGGGGTCAATACACAATCATTCAAATGCATATACAGTACAGTATGCACTATAGCCATAAAAGTAAATAAAATGTGTCATCTCTTTGAATTCACCTTCTTTGAGTAAATCAAACAATTCCTCATACAAATAAATAGTACAGTAGTTCATTATTAACATACATACTTGTCAGTATGACCTTCAATTGTGTCTTTATCAGGCTTGCATGTTTGAGCATATCATTCCTAGAAAATAAGGATTTTATAAAGAATTCTGTTCCTAAAGGGCAATATCTAAAATCACATGTGCTTACATTCATGACACCATACATTTTCACACACACAGTTCAATTATAGTCCCTAAGATCTTTAAAGATATTGTTTTTACTAGCTTTTGAAGACATTTTTATATTCTTTTGGAAAATAGGCACGGGCAAAAAGAATTACCTGACAATGGCTCTATACATGATTTATTTTTCGTACTTGCTTCCTTTTTAGGTAGCATGAACACTCTTTCTGTTGCATATCGTATTGAATATTAATGTTGAGCAAACTGAGAAATAGTTAAGCTTTCTGGTGTGACCTTGAAAAAGGACCTTGTAAAAATCTCGACACGTGCTTGCGGAAGTTATAAATATTTAAAAGTCGTAAGAAGGATAATTTTGGGAGGCAGACAGCTTTTTTAGGCAACACATGCATTTTAAAGCATGACCTTCAACTCAACATAATATATCAAAACTGCGTAAGAGCACACAGTTTAAAAAGCTCACCTGCTGTAAAAGTGCAAATAGAAGGAGTGACACAGGGTGCTGTGACTTTCTCCTGTCTGCAGAGTCAAACACGAGCTACGTCACTGAGAGACGCCCGACATTTGGAAACGTCAGCGCCTCTGAAAGTCACATCCTCTGAAGAAGACAAAGGTGATTTGCGCTTGTCTCGTGTAAATAAGCACCGAGTCTTAGTGCTGGAAATGTCCGGCTCAACATGAGAGGCAGTCAGACGCTCAGAGCTGCTGAGTCAAAACACACAAATCCATCCTCCACTCAGAGCGGAGGAGAGGAGTACCTGCAGGACTCAGATAACTGTGTCACCCCACCGGCTTTCATATTGCATCTCCTCACTAAAACATAAACATCATAAAGAGTTTAACACTCGCTGATAGGGTTGTTTTGTTTGAATGAAATGAATCTTTTGAGATGCAGTTGAAACTGTGCTGCCCTACAAAAGCAAAACGAAGAAACATACAGAGGCAGAGACATTTAAGAAAGGAAGGGTTTGTTTGTTTTTAACATAAAAATGAAATTGTGCTAAATAGTGTATTAATCCTTGCAATACTTTTTTCTGATAGTAATTACGATTATAACAAGAACAATTGGAAATTAGAAAGCAAGACTAACAAACCAATTAAAACTAGGAGAAAAACAAGTCACATATGATATTACTACAAACGGAAAACTACATTGAATTCACTAAGAATGCATGCAATAGGGTTTCATCATTATTATTTCAACTTTGCTGTTCAGTCTCTTTCTTTGTTTCTTTAATTAATTAATTATTATTGTTTCATATCCATTTTCTTTGTATGTTTATTTTGTATTTCTTTTGGAAGAAGTGCAATTTTGTTGAAATGTTGAATGTAGTGTATTCGCTCAAAAAGAAAGACCACTTGGTAGAAAAAGAATAATGTA